CGCAGCCCGCCGCCGCCGCTCGCTCCGGCTTCGCGCGCCACAGCGCAGGCGCGGGGGAGGAAAGGGGCGTCGGAGAGTGCGCATGCGCCAGCCTTGACAGGGCGCGGAGCGCGCAAGCGCAACCGCCCACTTCTTTAGAAAAACCCGAAATATCCTCTTTTTGGGGCTTATTTTTCCACTCGCCTGGGGTAATCTGGTGTGTGAGGGTGCCGCCTCCCCTTGAGAACGGCTGCAGTGCCCGTACACCTTCCGAAATTCAGGAAAATCCTAGTTTACCCAGCAGAGTGGGATGCCACACGCATCCTCAGGCCCCCTCCAGCAGCAAGAACCAGGGAACACGCAAGATGGGAAGAGTACCAGCTGCTTCGTGGTGTTTTCCTTGATGTACTTGATCCTTAAAAGGTTGCACTCTTTGCAGCGTTGGAATAAACGCCCGTCTTGCTCTGGGACAGCACTGCTGTGCTGGTTACGCTGTTCTGTGTGTCCCAGCGCTGCCTGGAGCTGGTAACGAAAAACAGAGGTGCCAAGACACTCACCATACTCAACACCTCGTCGAATATATTTCTAGGCAGTTTTTTTTTCCCTTCCCACTGCTTACGCAAGCCTCCTGCCAGCAGCGCACTGGAAAACACAATCGCGGGCATTTATCAGGGCGTTTGCGCGGATCCTGTAACACAAGGTTGGGATTACAGCGAGCTCTCCCAGACATGTCACAGCAACGTGAAATCCCATGCTTGGGCTGACAGGTTAAGGGATCTGGTACTGTAATCACACCAAACCACTAAATTAGACGGTGCTTCTGAAAAATACATCAATAGCTGACACAATTAAACGCAAGGAAGCTTATCCAAGTGCCACTCAATTTTCAGGATACTAAGCTGGGCAACGAATGCAAAGTCTCTTTAAATTAGGCTGCTTTTGGGTATATTCTTCAGAATATTTAAGAATAATTAAGAACCCCTTGAAGGATATTAGAAAAGTCACATAAACAGTATATTGCCCAAGTGGTTGTAACAGGAACAAAACAATATGAAACCTGTAACTTTTTATTTAAAAAAAAAAAATTAACAGCTTCAGAATAGATCAAATGTAATAACTTCTCCAAAAAATACCAAAAGGTACAGTGTAAAGCATCTTCTCATTAAATACAAACTAGCATTTTTTGATGCATTGCATCAGTGTTTGCATCTATGCTGATGCAAAAGAATTTTTTTGTTGCATCCTGGCACATGGAAAATGTATACACTGGAACAGGATGACTGACAACACTTTATCTAAGCAAATTCTAACAGTGGGACATTTCTTCCAAAATAATTTCCTACTAGTAATTAAGAAAAAAACCTTAACACCATTACATTTAGTTTGCTTCTGCTAAGGTATATTTTTAACATTAAAATTCAGGGTTTAAGTACTACATAGCATCGAGGATGCACTCTGACTTTAAAACCGCTGTACAAACAAAACTCTTGTACTGTAAAAGGCTCTTCAACAGTGACGTTCCTGGTAAATGCTAATTAACTTGGAATTTGAGATAAAAATACAAGGGAACCAACTCCGTAAGAAGCCAAATGGAAACTCTTCAAGAAGAACAAAATTAATTAAGCCCACTTCAAATACCATGAACATTTCTGGATGCAGCAAGCCAATCCTTCTTCTACCTGACTGTACATAACTCTCCTTGCTATAGAACAGTGTTAACTTCATCAGTTCCCGGTCTGGAAGCAATTCTGAACAGGTGCCTCATTTTCAGGGATCATATAAAAATCACATTGAGGATGCCCCAGTTGTTACCATCCTGCAGATTCTGATGCATAAAGCTAAGCCTAAAGCGATTTTACATGCTCCTGCTTAATACCTTACATGCGTCGCCAAACTGAGGGCTGTCCTCCAGCATTGCTTCCCAGTTTCAGCCAATTTCAAGACGTCTGACTGCTTCCGATCAGCTTGGCATCTTACCTCTCTTTGGTATACACAAACAAGTGCCTTCAGATTGCTTGCCTCTGGCTATTTGTAAGAGTCAGAGAAAATCTGCTGGGGCAGGGTATGCAAGATGAAAATCCTGACTGCGAGGGTAAGGAATGCTACCATACCACTGACTTTCTTGTAAACTGTTGTATTTATTCCTATGAAATTATTCAAAAATGTGAAGTTATTGCATTAAGTTTGTGGAAAAACGTACAAAAAGAAATAGAAAGGAAAAGTTTAAGAAAAAAATAGGACAGACATACTCCATTTACAGAGGAGGGTGATGAACTCGAGCTATTTGTAATATAAATTACTCTCATACTGCCTGTGGAGTACTCCTCCAATAGGACCTGGACCACTTTTAAGGATAAGAGTAGAATAGTCTCCACCCCAATTACATATTTTGGGTCTCAGCTAACAGCTTTATTTGTCAAAGTGAGGATGCAAAACCTTTAGTTTTCAAGAAAGGAAAAAAAAAAATTGAACTTCAAAAGCACAAAGAAATACAACCAATGCTCCCAAGAAAAATGCCACTACATCACTACCAAAGTATTCATGGACTGAGGCTCTGTGCCAAACTGCAGTCCAAAGTAAAGCTCAGAGGCAGTCCCTAAAAAACCCTAAAATGGGATTTGTAGTGAAACACTTACACAATCTTTACCATAACAGAGGGGTCAAAGAACAGATACTGAGCACTCCTGAACAAAAAAAAAAAAAAAAAAAAAAAAAAAAAAACCAAAACAACTTTTAAAATCCGTGTTTGTGTTTTGGTTGCAAGATGAACCAAAATCAGTGTTTGTCATCAGCTGGGCAACAGAATCTTTTCCAACCAGGTGATGGTGCCACTCCAGTGGATCAGTTTCTCCACTTTCCCCCCCCTAAGGGCATTATGTCTTTTACCATTCAAAGTAAAAGTATTATAGATAGCTCTGCCACCATCTTAGCAAGAAGTCTGGAGAATTTCAGTGATGTATGCTGTATTCTTCTGCCCACTTTTATCTCAGTTTATTAGGTAGGTGGGATCAATGCTCAAGTCCATCTGTCAGGTTAGCCCACTGTTACAAAACGGCTTCCTTTGTTCTGCGACAGCGCAGTTCTTTGTTCCTTCAGGATCCCAAAACGTTCGTTCAACGTCATCCCTGTCTGAAAAATAAAAAGTAATTTAACCATAAACTTAAAAGACATTAGGCTAATTTAATCAAAGCAATGGAGACAAGAATAATTTTTTCCTCATTCTGGATCATCACTCGGTTTCTCAATTGCCTCACTTGGATTATAAGAAAAAAAAAAAAAAAGTTTGATTTGATTTCATCACTTCCTGCACCATTTAAAAATCAGATTTGACTATACATCAAGAGCTAGCGTTTCTCAGAATTCATTACGAAGACATGGTACACAGTGTCAAGATCGAAAGTCTACTCAAAATATTCTAAGTTAAACTGAGGACGGACAGACTGAAAAAGGGAACTTTCACTACACTCATTTCCCCCCCCCCCAGATTCTATGCAACTTCAACAAATGCAACATTTCAACCGTGTTAATGCAGGTTGCTTTCCAGTCCATCCAGTTGAGGTAGCAGATTAAAGCCTAGTCCAAAAGTTCAATTAATTTTACAATATAGTAGTAGACTATTTTTGACATACATGGAACACCCTGACCCCATGTAGTTTTCTACAGCTGGCAGTACAGAGCTGATGACAAGAACAGCATCTAAATCTGTCACCCTGTAACAATTCCTTCAATGACAGCACTAAGATTCCTGCACCAAATCACCTGTCTTCATGAAACTTGTGAAAATTTGCACATCTTTCAAGCCTTTACATCATCACGTTTGATTTTTTTCCTAGATGCATAGCAAAAGTTGCCTTATAAATGCAGGTGTCAGGCTTCCACGCAGGTTACACAACTGACAGAAGCTCATCCCTGAATTACGCACACTTGCTGATTCAAGCACAGCAGCAACACCAGAAGGCTTTTAGAAACATTCAACAATTTAAATCCCATTTAAAGCATGTGGGCATGAAAAACATGAACTAGAGGAACAGGAACAGTGAGATTATTTACTTGTTTGAAGTTACATAGCAAGTTAGTGGAAGAACTGGAAGTGGAAACAAGAAGTAGTCACTAGTTTCCTCTTTCTGTCACTAGTGAGTCTAGGAGGAAAGTGCCTTTCGTCTGTCTTGACACTACATCCACAGTTAAGGAAAGAAACTGAAATTACCTGTTTTCCAACACTATTAATATCAAACTGCAACGGAACCCCTTTAGGAATCTTCTTCTCTTCAGACTGGTCCCTCTTCATCAGAAATGGCGGCACAGGAGTACGAGTTAATCGTAATTTCTGGGAACTGTAAAAGAAGAACATAACGTTACAAAGGAGTGAAAACATGTTTTATGCAACAAAGCCTTTATGCTGATAGAGGTATGAATTTTTCATCAAACCATCTGATCAGGCTGGCTGAATAGCTGGAGGGCACAAATTCAAGAAGGTAAAAGTCACACAGAACCATCAAAGGGTACCATTTGTTATCATAATCAGACAGCGAGTGTCCTGACAGGGAGCAATCTTATCTTTTATCTCTCAATTTGACTGACAAACACATAATTTGCAGTTCATCATTCCCATTAAAAAAAAACTGGTACAGTCTTCCTTACAGATAAAATGCTACTAATGAAAAAAGATACTCAGGAGATTTTTATAATAAAACCCCTCAGGAAACAACAGTACCATCAACTTCCCAAACACAAATACAGCAAAGCTTTCTTTAAGTCTTTAAGCACAACTCTAGCAGTATCTCTATGAATCAGGGAGGAACTATTACTATCACAATCACTCATCAACTACATGCTCATTCATTTTCATTCAGACAAGGGAGGAAAACAGCTGCGCTAAGGTCCGATTTGGAAGAGGCAGACAAGGTGAAAGTCTGCCAGCCCACCACTCATCAACTCCATACACCACATCAAGCTCCTAACTGGGAGATGCTTCAAGAAATCCAGATGCGATGTTACTCAAACACAGCTCAGAAATGCTCGTAAAGGGGACAGATTTAGAAGTCTTCACAAGCAGCTGTGACCTTGAGGTCATCTGAAATATTATCTGCAAGAAGTTGCTAAATGGCTCAGAACAGCAGTTTCAGCTATGTTAAAAAAATTTCAGAACTTTTTCAAAAACTCACATTGGGGTTATGATTGCTCCTGGGTTGTCAATGGATACAGTGAGAATCCCTCCACTTGTGGTAGAAGTTCGCCATCTAGTTTGAAAGCAGAAAAATCACTTACTAAAACATTGCAGAAATTTCAGTCAGAGTATCTTTAAATATGTGTCCAAAACACAGGCTAGTGAAGAATCTACAAGCTTTCAGAAAACAGGCCAGCAGGATGACCACGTGCAGTCAATCTACAAGAAGCCTGGCCCTTGGTCCTTGTATCTTTTATATTAGCTAAACCTATTCAGGCGAGCACCAGATCACGTGCTGGCAAGGTGTAGCAGAACTACAGCACTGACTGAAATGTTCCCTTTTTAAAATCATCCAGTTTCCTTGACACAGATCGGGCCAAAACAGTCCCCAGAGCAAATCCAAGAGGTGACAGGCTGCAGTTCCATGGTATACGCTGCTCACTCAGCCTGCTGTGTTACCAACAAACTAGTTGCAAAGAGACTAGCAGGTACAGAATGATACAGGAAAAATACATGAGTGAGAGCTGAGCTTCTCCCACCTTGTGACCTTGCCTTGCTTATTTCCAAACTCCTTCATCGGCTTATATGTATATTAAATAAAATAGAAATTACATCAAGAGCTCAGGAGAACATTTACATTTGAATTTTTCTTCCAGTCTAGGCAATATTCACGAGTGGTAAGATTAGTCTGATCCTCTGAAGCTACCACCTTCCCCCTCATTTCTGCAAGCGCCTCATGCAAATAAATTCCTCCTGGTTAAATCAGAAGATAATTTAGGAAATAACTGATAGCGACAGGATCACTGTCACTCAGTTAATATGCCTCCAGGGGAAAAAAATCCCGTTCAATTATCACAGCCAGGAAGCTAGAACTAAAACAAGAATCATACAAGTAACCAAACTGAAGTTTTCCAAATGAAATACTTACTGACGAGTTCTCTTTACTGTCTGATTATCAAGATCATCTGTTGACTGCACTTGGGCCTGCACCTGAAAACATCAACACAGACACTGGATTTGAACACACCATTGTAGCAGACGGAAATACAGCAATTCAAGAACAGAAGTTTAAAGCTGTTAGTACACTCTGCACAAACAGGGTTGTACCTTCAGAGGGACTTAAAGATAACTATCTTATCACTGCTGTAAGACATTGCAAAGGAATTACTTTAAGAACAAAAAATTATTTAAACAAAATTGTCAATGACAGTAACTTAAACAATAAGGAGATGGAAACATTTTTGAGGACTATGCCAGCAAACTTATACTTTAACAAGATACTCCAAAATGTTACCAGACCAACAAGAAAAACCTGGCTAGTTTCTAACCTGATCAATGTCAACATACGTAATATCCCATATGCCATTAAGTCTCACTCCTGTTTTAAATTCCTCCTGATCCTGTCTGTAACTCTGCAATCCATGTGGATGGAAGATGGGAGCTACTTACAGTCACAAGGATGGCAGATGTAGAATGAGGGCACAAATGAAAAGCAAGAACACCACTATCATTCACTGAACACTCTTTATTCTCTTGTTCTTACTCAAAATAACCAAAAAAATCCTTAAGTAAAATAATAACATAGATAACTAAATAACCTCAAAATACTGAAAAAAAACAAAACCAAAAACCATAATCAGATTCTAAAACATGTTTCTGGTCTATCCCAAAGGCAACTTTTGAAAGCTGCACAGTGCTTTCTAACATTTACTTTTAAAAGGAAAAATTAATACCTTGCAACTATCCTCTGACAAGTTCCATGCCCCTCTAAAACAGTTCAGCTACACTGGAACAGGAAGCAAGACTCAATGGGCTACAGTAACTGAAGAGGAGAAGCACATTTCCCTAGAAGAACCCGTGCCTATTTCCCAGTCCACCTCATGTTTCTACTCAGACATGATATTTGAAGTTGATTCATTAATACCAGTGTTATAGGTTAGCTCAGAACCTGGGGCACAATTTCATTGTTGTTTTCAGTAATTTTTATTACCTTCAGGCCCCTTCTAAACAGGAAAGTTGCTTGACGAGTATCTTTCTGCTGATTTAGTTTGTTTCCAATTCTGGCAAAAGTGGATGGCACGTTATTCCTGTAATATTGATTAAAATACAGTTAGCAAAGGGTCCACAGATAACATCTTAGGGAGACCACTATGAAAGTCGGGAAACTGCCAATACATCCCTAAGGACATCTGCAATGATGCCTCTTTGAGGCTGAACATTTCAGCTCCAATAAGCTTCTCATCTACTACGAACAAAATAGAGTAGTCATAAATGGAGAAATCACTTCTGTTACATAGAAGCTTAGCACTCTTACATCACAAGACAGTGTGATTTCTGATTCTGCTTTTTACTTTGCTCAGTATCCATCAGCACTTTAAGCATTTCTGATCAGAAGAAAAAAAAGGAGAAGTCTGTGATAAGTATAAAGAAAGTTTGTTTACAGTTTCCACAACAGTGTCACTTAGTGAAAACTTTCATCCTGGAGACCAGTTAAGATGCAGTTCCTAAGAGACATGTTAATTCCAGCACGAACAAAACTTGCAATAGCTTCCACGAAACTAAAGATGGCACCAGCTTCCACAAAGGCATTTTATTTAGAAAGTTCACTAAACCAGAACTGTCACTTCAAAGCTACCAAAATCCACGCTGGCCATTTCCATATAGGCTGCCTATGACTTAAGTGAAGGCAAGATACCAGCTGCTCACAGAGGTACCTCCAGAGTGCTCTACACAGTAATAAGTATCTGGCTTTCTATCAAGACCACGTTTGTCCCATGTTTGGCCTCCAGATTTGCAGAACTTCACACACAAGATAGTCTTGACTGTATTACTACTGCCAGGACCTAGTGACTTCTCATGGACTCAGTGCTGTCAAACACATACTATGGAAGGTTGTCAAGAAGAGTTTGGAAAGCAGACTCGGGATTTTACCTTCTATTTAGCAGGGCAGGCCGCCTGATGGCTGGAGCTTGTTTTCTCTGCATTTCAGATTGTCTCTGAAGGTTCGATTTCTTTTTCAAAACTGGGTAATTCCTCTGTGTATTCTTAAAAAACAATAAACATATATAGCATATATGTACATTGTATACACACAAACACTTTTCCTTCAGTTTCCATTTACCACCTGCATGCAGAGTACTGGCTTTGCCTACCTTTCAGTCTAGTATAATTTGAAAATATCTTCTACACTTTTCTATATTCCCCTCATTACCAGACAAAAAAAAAGCAGTTACTTTTTGATTACTGTATCTCTGTAAATTGACAAATACACAAGTTCCACACATCTTTAAAATGACTCTTCTCCACAAATCTAAAAGCAATCCCCGTCGTACAATACTGCATGAAATGGAGCAGGCAACAATGAACGCACTGGAGTGCAGAAGAGGGAGCCTACTGAAGGAGTTAAGTATTTTGCAAAAACTTCAATTTTTCTAACAGGCAGATGCTTAACACCTCCATGTTGGCTGAATCATTGGTTTGTAACAAAGCAATGCAAAGATAAGAAATCTTAATAAGGGAGCTTTTCCTGTAAAAATACAGTAACTACCTCCATACTTGCATAGAACATACTCCCGTACTTCAATTTTCATGACTTCCAACCCAATTAAGCGTTAAAGAAAACTTTCACACCTAGTCATTAACTACCCCCCTCAAAACAAACAAGAACTCAGCTGACACATCCCCAATTTAATAAAAGGTTGTGCCAGAGGTCTCCATTTTATATTTCAGAAGCACTGTTCTGAAGCCATTGCGTTTCGTTCTTTTAATTTGTCCTTACATGAACACTAGAAGTGCATTAATTACCTTCTCGCTAAGTGGCTGTCTATTCAGAGGACTAATTCCTTTGCGTGAACCCACTGCCTTCTTGGCTGCCAAGCCAGTTATAACGCCGTAAGAACGCTTCTTCCCTGCTATCTTCTTCCTGCGTCCCAAACGATTTTTGCCATAACCTGCAACAAGTATCAAGAATTCGACAATTCGTATTGAAAGAAAAAGCTTATGGGTTTAAGATGCTACGCAGGCAATGCACACTTCAAGCCTTAGAGCAGAAGCTATCACTACACTTGAAGACAATTCCGTCATTCAGTTATTTCAGCAGACCTGGCCCAAGCCCTAGCACAACAATAATCAGTTTCTCATAGAGACCACAGTTTTGCTCTAGTTCGTTGTATTAATTTCTGTTGAAAATTTATTATTTGACATGTCTACAGGGACAACTTAAGGGTCATTCTGGCATAGAAAAAACACCAAAATACTCTGAAATGGAACTTCATCAAGTGCTGAATAATACAAAAGCAAACCAAAGCACACCAGCTCTCCGCCCATTCAGCAAACTTTAAATTAAGAGTTTAATTTAAAGAAAAGCAAAAAGTAACTTCAAAGCTTATTTATTTAGATCAGTGCTTCCCAAGACATGACTAAAGAAAAAAGAACTTAGCAATTGGCCCACAAAATAGTATTAAACAGCATATAAATTACATCACATTTGAAGTGTTTTCAATTAGAAGTCTGCATGGCAGTCTGGATGAAATTGAGAATTGAAAGCAGCCTTTGAATATAAAGGGCTCGTAAGTCTGAGGTCTGTAGTATAAACATCTCAAACCTCCAGTTACAAGGGTTTGGTTAACCCTGTCTGGAGCCATTTAGCTTTATGCTATGAATACAGACCATGTTTTATCCTCAAGTATCATCCCCCTTAGAACCTCAGACTGCAAGATAAATTTAAGACTAAGGAGCCAGCTCTACCCCAACTGACACATCTCGCTTCGACATATCCATACCATCGATAATAAATCTGTGCTTCTTCATGAGAAAGGAGCCATCACATGAGGTTAAGCCACTGATCAGAAGCCAGCCCAGATAAATTTGCCATGGAGAAACTGCTGTGTAACCACATTTTGTGGATGGTTAGCAAATGCTCTTCTTTTCAAACAGAAAAGCTGAGAGACAAGGCTACTTATGCTGAAAGGTACCTCATAAGCTCTCTGGACCAATCTCTGCTCAAATAAATTACAACCTCAAAGTTAGCTCTGGCTGCCCAGGCTTTTGTGCAGTTGCATTCTGTGTATCACCAAGGACAACCTTTATTTTAATGAACAATGTTCTCCCTCTTTCTCCCTCCAAAAGCTGAAGAGTCCCAGCTCAAGTTCCTTGCTTCCTTCCAGAGAGTTTGGCAGCCACTTCTAAAACCACAAGGAATTGAATGCTGTTGATCATTTGTGGTTTCTGTAGCTGTCCACAAACTAACAGAGGATTTGCTACTTACCAGAATAACTTCAATGGCAACGGAGCAGCAATAAATCTACTGGTCATACGGTACTAATAACTAAAATGCTCAGAAGAACTATTTAATGATACCTTCTGCTCAAAACCCAACATAAATGAGGTTTGCTTTCAGTGGGAGAAAACGTGGAGGTGTATAGGAGGGAGCAGCAAAAGCTATTCACAATGTTTCAACACGTCATGAATCTGGCAATTTTGCAAAAAATGCTTGCTTTTTCCTAGAACAAGGGCAGGCAAAGAAGGAAGGTTCCAAGAGAGAAAAGTAACTGCCAAGATGGTTGTATTTAGAGCTTTATATTTGTAGCTCAAGTTGCTCCTAAAATTCTTAATTCTAATACTTCTTTTGTACCCTTTGGATCATAAACAACTGTGTTTGACAACCACTGTCATGAATAGAAAGCCTACATGTTTGATAATCTACAACTTAAACTCACTCTTTTAACTACACAAACATTCTTACACTTTGGGCTGAGTGATGTAAAATATTTTCCTGCACTGTCACCAATTTACTAAAGACGCACAAATTAAGGAACACTGCTCTGTTGGCCTGTATAAAAAGCAAAACTCCTCTGAGCCCTGAGCAACATGACAGTGCACTGATCCCCAAAGACATCTGTGTCTAAGATGCTAAAAAGGGAACTTTCACTTTTTACAAAGTTTAGACAAGTTTCAGAGCTACTGCTACACCAAATACTAAGCAACAACAAAGATAAAATGGGGATCACTGTGAGTACACCAGACAGATGTGTATTTGCTTTAAATGAATGCTACTAAACAAGAATGTTGCACGTATTAACTTAACTACTTAATTAGCTTGGATTAAGGTGGTAAGCTTTCTGATTAGCCAGTATTTTTCCATATTTTGATAATCCAGTGCTAAAAAGGTATTTTTCAAAATTAAACAAAAGCAAAATGAGTCTATATTTCAAGCAGGTACTGGCCATGTACTGGACCAAAACCCAGGAATCATTCTAGAATATTACTCCTGCTTATCAAAAAAACCTCTGTCAGTTACTCAGGGAATCTACAGGAAAGCTGTTACTGTGCACTTTTCCTCTCTTCACTCCCTGCCTATATGATTTTTTTCCCCCATTTTTGTATTCCACTGTAAAAACATTGGTTTAAGAAGGCTGACACGGTACTTCCTTTGCATCCCAAAGTCTCAGCAAGAAAAGCCAACTCACTATCAATTTATGTATCCCAGAGGCAGCATTACAGTCTGCAGTAACAGTTGTTTTCAGGAGGCCTACTAGGAGAATTCTGCCTAGCAAATATAAATACGCTGGCTCTTTTGCACACAACTCAGAGCTCTGGCAAGGTCTCCACATTTCCTAATATACAGGCTTTGGCATACGCACGCTTTCTATCCATCTCTGTGAAGAGACAAAAATCTCAACACCCTTTCCAAAATTAAAATAAATTTTAAAAATCATAAAGCAAGCCAATCCTTCCTCAAGTCAAAAAGAGTTCCTCAAGCACCTAAGCTCCTCTTTGGTCAAACACGTCAATGTTGTTCTCACACTGAACCAAAACCAATCTCAAATAGCTCACAAAGAACTGAATTATAACCAAAACCATATATGACACCATTTGAAAGACACCTGATTTGACTGTGTCAATCCATAAATTTTCACTAGGTTACACTTCAGCTAAAAAAAAATAAAAATTGTGCAATGCACGTTATGTCTGGCACACACACCTTTCTGTTGTTGGATTCCCCACTTAGAGCCTGGTGTCCTGAACTGGCGAGTTTGATTCTGCTGAAGCCCTCTTTTCATTTTGGGGGAATACTGTTTCCTCTCTTCTTTCTTGTTCAGTTTAATTATATCATCTGTAAGCAACAAATAAAAAATAAAGATTTGCCACATTGCAGACATATTCTAGTTCTGAAGAAGAACCCTAGCAGGTTGGAGCAATGGGAAACAAACCAATATAATCTTGCAAAACCAGCATATACAAGGTAAGGTTCCAGAAACATCTCTAAAAAACATCCAGTCCCTGTTAGTCTTACAGCACTTCCTTTATAATACAATACCCTAGCCAAAAAGAAACAGTTGCATACACCCAGAGCATCCAAGAGACTTGAAAGATCATGGCATGAAATTTTAAATGGAGTGACTACAACAGTTTTTGTATACCATTGAAGAGATGGTAATCCCATCTCACTTAACAGACTTTACACATTCCAGACAAAACATCAATTCAAGCCTTGGTTCTTTCATCCAAAGTTATTTTAGAAAAATCACACAGAGAGAACTCAGCCTATCAGTTATATACATATGTTCACTGAGGTTGAGATGATGGGGAAAAAAGCAAGCAAGACTTCTCTCCCCAGGTATCTGAAATCCAAAGCAATCATCTCTTGTCCAGGGAAACAATGTTCAACAAATTGATCGGTTTAAGAATATGTGTACGATAATAAATTGATGAAAAGTGAACGGCAGGTCTGTCAAGTGCAAACCACACCACACCAGTTTCATTTCCTTCACTGATCAGGCAGCTGGCTCAGCAGATAAGAGCAAAGCAACAGACGCGGCATGCTTTTATTTGACTGTCAGCTTTGTTTACCAAAACACCATAAAGCAAAGTGTCAAATTATGTTTATTGCATCTAGATCATGAGAGCACAACTGATGTAAATATTGTGTTTCTACAGGGATCTACCACAAACACGTAATGTCCTTTTTTGTGTCAGGGAGAGATGGGAACAGGGTTACTGTGTTTAACAGAGTTCAAATGGACTTGGATGGGGTAGAACAGAGAAAACAGCATAAAAAAAATCATCAAAATACGGTTATCCAACATTTTATATCCTTCTGAAGTAAAGCTAAGAGAAAAATCAGCTTACTTTGCCACAAAATTGATTGAATATTCAGAAAAAATCTTTTAGGACAAGGAATTATTGATACAGGTCACTCAGGGTTTGATTTCTTTACCAAAGGGATCATCCCTGCAGCAAGGATTCCCAAACTTGCCTTTTTATATGACAAAGGAAACCAAAGTCACTTCAAAAATTGTATATAGGTCCAAAATAGCAGAAACTATCACTGCCAACAGCAGTACTCAACCAGGAGCACTATTTGAATTTAGCACCACTAATAAAGTAATGTTCAACAAAAACTAAAACTTCCAAAAGTGTTAGAGCAGAATGTGTAATCCTGTGTAATGGCTGCTTCCATTCAGAGAGCACGGATCCATGCTTCACAGTTCATCTGCTCCATCTTAAATCCCATTTTTTGCAAGTTAACTGTTGCTGCACGCAGGGTTACAAGTTTTTAAACAGAAGTTAACTTTCAGCTGTTCTCTAATTTGGGGAAATGAAGGATACCTGGGACACTACACATTTGTTAGCCGAGACACACTGAAGCATCCCTTATCTTGCCGGAGACTGGCGATCAAAACTACACCTAGAACAGCAGAATAATCTAGGAACATTATGTGTAACTCATCTGAAGCAAAGTTTGATAACACACCAGCAACAAAAATAAGTTTAATCTTTATCACTACATGAGAAAATACTCAACGTTAAGATCTAGATCCTAAGATTTCCTAGATTAATGTTGTGTCAATTTTTTTGATATCATGACAGATGTGGGACAGCATCTTATCTTTCCTTATGCCAGACCATATAGCTTGGACCTGGAGACAACAGCCATGGATGCCACTGTTCTCATGACAGGGCACCCTTGCAAGGAAACAAGGGACACACCCACTCACAACTCATTGAAGCTTCTTAAACAAAACGTCACCATGACACCACAACAGTCCTTCGCAATCTGCTATTAGTCAATGTCCAGGATGTAGTAGTGGCTAACTGAAAGGCTAATGTGGCTGAGTAAGAATCACTAGAATACATGAAAATAGAACTAGCCACTCAGAATCAATAACTCTGTTAATCTCGGTAACCTTGGAAACAAAGATTCAGTGTACTACGCTATAAGTAAAAATAGATTTATATGAATGCTGTAATGCTACTCCCTGTACAGATGAGCTCTAAACATCATTTCACAAGTTATCTCCATTGCCAAAACACAGAACTCCAGACAGGTACAATGGTACAAATCCTCTTATTTTAAGGTGGCCTGCAAAGGCCAAGTCTACCATTAACATTCTAATTCACATCGTGATTTCATTTTTTTGAAGCAAGTCTCCTGTTAGTACCCATCCACCATGCTCCTGCAGTGTCATGGAGCAGTTCTTGAGTATAGAAACTCGATTTTTTTAGATAAAACTAATCTGGAAGGTGCACTCCAGGAATGCACCAAATGTGTCCCCAGCTGTTAAGGGGACTCAGCACCCAGGACCAGAACTACTCTGAGATACTGCTTTGAAATGTGTATAGCATGGGCATCTGGTTCTCAGATACGCTCGAGAGATGCAGATCTGTAGTAAGGCCGTACAACGTCCTAAGAGGGAGGACAGGGGAGAAGGGAACAAGAAACTATGTGTTAGAGACAACATGACACTTGATCTGACTGGTGAAGTGCCGCAGAGGAGTGACAAAGGAGACTTGCCATTACCAGCTTCCAAACCTGGAAAGGAAAACAAGGCAAGGCCGGCTGAGCAGCCCCCTAACCACTCCCTCCTGCAATTGCGAGCCCTGGGACGCTCCCCCACGGCCACCCAGCGAGGGGCCTGGGCACTGCGGCCTGACCGGTGCCAGACCCTGGCAGCGCCCCGGTGGAACAAAGGGAGCCCACTCCCCTGAACCCGGCTCCTCCCTAGCCAGGGAC